AAAGGAAAGGGGAAAGGAAAGGAAAGGGGAAAGGAAAGGGGAAAGGAAAGGGGAAAGGAAAGGGGAAAGGAAAGGAAAGGGCAAAGGAAAGGAAAGGGAAGGAAAGCTTGCCTATGGATAATCGTAAAAATGGTGACTAATGAAGTCTAAGGACTTTCTGTAATGTTGCATGGATTCTTTAATTAGAATCCTAAACTACTAAACATTTGGAAGTAAAGCTATATTGAAAAAAGGAAATGGCTCACTGTGAGGCAGGTGGAGCTGCTCCATGTCCCCCTGAATAAACCTTCATTCCCCAGGGTGGCCGTGGGGGACTGTTGGAAGAGCAGAGTAGGGTCCCGAGGGCACAGACAGACATGCACTGGGCATAGCCTTTAGCTACAACCATATTAGTCAACCAGTTTAGTCAATAAACTGGCCCGGGGCTGCTCTCCGCCCGGGGGAACCCGACCTGGAATCCGTAGCACTGAATTCCATCAGCATCCAGGGAGAGGACACCATGTGCCAGCTGGGAATGCGGGCTGGCTCCCAGCCAAAACCGTGCCTGGCACCGTGCTGGGGTTTCAGTAACACAGCTGGTCAAGCTGCAGTGCCCTAGAGCTTTATTTGCTCCTAATGTGCTTTATTTACCAGTTCTGACCCAGTTTTGTGTTCAGAAGTGCCTCTTCTCCTGTCTTACTTTGAACCTAAGGGCCGGGGAGGCCTCTGGCACAGCCAGGACGTGCTGTAACCTCCCTGTTCTTCCCCTGCAGCTGCTCCAGCGAGTCTGGCCAATGCGAGTGCCGGCCCCACATGTTCGGGCGTCAGTGCAATCAAGTAGAGCCCGGCTATTACTTTATTTCACTGGACCATTACATCTATGAGGCCGAGGAAGCCAACTTGGGTCCTGTGAGTAGCAGTTTCCGTACGTTGCTTGGCACAGGTGTGGGAAAGCGGTTTATCCATGTGCGTGATGAAAATGGCTTAGTTTATAACTCAGTTATTTTGTAAAGCCACCGTGGAAAAACTTGACTCTTATCAGGGAGTTGTCAGTCCGTAGCTGTTCAAGCTCACTGTCAATAAATAATGCAGGGGGAAAGGCTTTAATTTTGCTTTCTAAACCTGTCTCTTTGATCTCTGGCTATGCAGTGGGTTTCCTGCCTATATCCCTTTCTTTACCTCACTGCATATGCACTCGCTTCTCTCTCCCGTCTTATCTCAGGTGTGCTAGAGAGATAACAGTGGCTGTTTTCTTTGTTGCCCCTGAAACTGGAGAGAGGACATTTAAGCACCATGCATTCTGTTTTGAAGTTTCCCTAAATCAGTGGGGTTTCTTTATTAACGACTAAAAATACAGCTGATTGATTGATATAATTACCTAGCTGCCATTAATGAGTTAACAGCAAACCTGCCTGCTCTTCTGAAAGAGTCAGAGACCCCGATGCATGACACCAGTGGGCTAAACAAACCAGAGGCAACCTCACTTACAAAACATCTTTTTCCCCATTTAGATTTGTCTGCAGCAAGGAGACCAGGAGATGAGGTAGTGGTTTCTGTAAAACAGCAGATATTAGCCTGCCCTTAATTGGAACACGTTGTCCTAATTTATTTATTAGGCTGCAGTTTCAGCCCAAAGCAAAGGCTTTTTTCTCTTTCAATAAATGCTGAGAGCAAAGACAGGGTAGAGCAGAGCCTGGCCCGTGTTGGAGGGCCTCCTTTCCAGTTTCCCCCCAAAGCTGCAGGCTGCCTCATGTCCTGTCTCTGCTGTTTTCTGGAGAAGTTTGTCCCTTTGTCGAGAGCCAAAGGTGGATAATTTTTGCCTAATTCTCTTCAAAGAGCGTGGGAATGCATGGAGGGACATCTTGAAGTGATATCTGCATTGACATTTCCTCACATTTTTATCGCTTTCAACTGAAATAATTTCCTTAGGAATGCACAGGATGTGATTTTATAGAGGAAACTATTCATGGACGCAGATATATTTGAAGCAGGAAGCCTGAGTGTCAAAGATTTACATGTTCTGGTGCCGTTTTGATCTCATTGCCTTTGCAAGAAGAACAGATTGAAAAATAGAGCTGAATAGACTAAAGGGAATAGTTGCATATTGATTTGGTGCATTTAGTGTCAACAGATAATTAGGATCTTGGTTATTTAGTGACACTCCTGATGGCTGGGGGCTGCTTTTAACATGTTGCCCTCATCAGTGGTTCGGTTTTGTGTGACACTATCTAGTCAGGAAGTTTTCATTCAGGCTGGGCAGTTAGGACAGCACTACATGCTGCTGCATGTCCATCCTCCTGCTGTAAATATGATGCAGAAAATCATCTGAGCAGGTCAGTTACGTCCTGCCAAGGGAATATTCACATCTGCTTTACCCTCCCTGTCGCTGCAGGGAGTAAATATAATAGAGCGCCAGTCCACGCAGGACCGCACGCCCTCCTGGACCGGCGTGGGCTTTGTGCGCGTCCCGGAGGGAGCCTTCCTGGAGTTTTACGTCGACAACATCCCCTACTCCATGGAGTACGAGATCCTGGTTCGCTACGAGCCGCAGGTGGGTCGGTGACGTGGGCTCTCCCTGCATGTTCCCTTGGGCTCCTCCTGGAGCCATGGGGACCCAGCAGCACAGCCCAGTGTCCAGAGTGTTGAAAATCCCCGGAGGTTATCGCCACCACTGGGATTATTTGCTTTGCAGTTTGGATTTCCATCATTATTGTGGTGTTTTAACTGTGCCAGTGCTACACATACAGTTTAATGAGCAGATAAGAAGGTCCCCTCAGGGCAGATTACACTCTAAATTTGGCATCAACCACACGGGCTGGGAGGGAACACAGTTACGTGACTTAGCAGACAAACTGCCAGCCTTGCATATCGAACACTCTCAGCCAGGAGCTTCCGAGCAGCCGGTCTGGGCTGTGGATAATCCGCAGGTGGGAGGCGAGGAGGAAAACCTCGAGCTTGGCACGTGCTGCGCTTGCCGCCCGCGGGTCGTGCTCTCCTGGCCGGCGCTCCGGGCGCTCTCGGCACCTTACTTCGTACTCATGGTTATTTTTTTTCCCCCCAGTTGCCAGATCAGTGGGAAAAAGCCGTTGTCAGCGTGTCGCGGCCGGGCCAGATCCCCACGGGCAGCCGATGTGGCAACACGGTCCCTGATGATGACCATCAGGTCGTCTCCCTCTCACCCGGCTCCAGGTCGGTATAACCAGGCACTTCTAAAAATCACCGGGTGGTAAATGGTAAATTCACCCGGAGCGGGTAACTAAGAGGCACCCCATCCCGGCTGGAATAATTTGTCAAACTGATTTCAGTCCAGCTGCAGCAAGTCAGCATCAGAGTGCTTTTTTGCGCCTGCAAAATTCGCCATCATCTCTGTGAAAATGAGTGAAATTTAATGTCAAACATTTAAAAAATGCATTTCATATTGTGTCAGTAGATGCAAAGCTTGTAAGGTTTTTTTTCTGCTGTTCTGATTTGTTTTGTTCATTCAGTAAATGAATGAAAAAAAATCCATATTTGCTCAAGCTGTGGGTGAACGTTGGTTGATGATTCCTCCCATCCTGGATTAGCCTTTCCATGCTGATTTACACAAGTCTCCAAGCCACCTCTTTCATGTTGTTGTTTGAACCGTTGGTTCTCTCCATTCGTGGCCATTTCTTCTTATCCTGATTGCTTTATTGGGGCCCCTAAATTGTTTTATGATGCTGAACATTGGGTGTAAGACTTGTTTCCTGTTCCCACTGCAGATACGTGGTCCTTCCCCGCCCGGTGTGCTTTGAAAAGGGCCTGAATTACACGATTCGCCTGGAGCTGCCCAAATACTCCTCGGTGGATACCGAGATGGAGAGCCCCTACACACTCATCGATTCGGTGAGCAGGGCCCACCTTGGGGATGCTCTAATGCCAAGGAGTGTTTGGTGGTCTTCAAGTTGGCTTCTCTTCTGGAATGTGTCCATGGAAGTCAAGAGAAATCACTTCTATAAAATTTTCACTTACGACCGAATCTAGATTTTAATTGAAAATTTAAACCAACTTCTTCAGTCTCAAAGTTGAAGTTGTCTGTTGGTTATGAGGTTTTTGCTTTATTTTGTAGGACTGTAGTAGTTCCAGAGAGCTAAACTTGTGCAGTTTCCTCTTGGGAAAGGCTAGTACATGCAGTGCATGTCATGAATATCAAACCTTTTTAGTGAATGAAAGGATAAAATAAAATATACTAAAGAATATATGTAAAAATTTGGTCATTTTCTTGCCGAAATCTGTAGTTATCTGCTTTTTATTATATTTTTTTCCAAAAAAAAAATGGCATAACTGAATTTTCACAAAGACGGTAGACAGTATTTGCAAATAGCGATGCTTTGTCATTGTAAAAATTGTTTCCTAGCTCGTCCTCATGCCCTACTGCAAATCACTGGACATATTCACGGTGGGAGGCTCAGGCGAAGACGTGGTCACGAACAGCGCTTGGGAAACCTTCCAGAGGTACCGGTGCCTGGAGAACAGCCGGAGCGTTGTGAAAACCCCCATGACAGATGTCTGCAAGAACATCATCTTCAGCATTTCTGCTCTCTTGCACGAGACCGCCTTGTGTATGTAACCTTGCCTCGACTTGCCGAGCAAGAACTGCACGTGGAACCCGGGGGGTGCTGCCCGATAGGGCGGCTCGCCTGGGCATGCGTGTGTGTGTGGTGATGGTGATGGTGGTGGTGGTGGTGATGATGATGATGGAGACATGCGGCCTCTCACAAGGCTCTTCTGACTCTTCTCAGCCTGCCAGTGCGACCCGCAGGGCTCGCTGAGCTCGGTGTGTGACCCCAGCGGAGGGCAGTGCCAGTGCCGTCCCAACGTGGCTGGGAGGCAGTGCGACAGATGCGCGCCTGGCACCTTCGGCTTCGGCCCCGCCGGATGCAGGGGTACGTTTCTCCCTTGCCGCTCCACTCGCTGCCACCGCGCGCATCGGGGCGAGAGCTGCAGCGCCTTCCTGTGCCGCGCTCTGAACACGTCTCTTGTTCTTCATAATCACGGTCACGTAGCACGAAACGCCCCTCACGGAGGCTGCCCCACGCGTGCAGGCTGGGGGCTGATCCTTCGGGATGCTCTGGTTTTCCCGATGCGGTGCCGAGCTTTGCTGCAGCCAGGGGGAAGGGCGGCGAGGCGACCGCTGTCCTGCTGTCCTTGCAGCTTGCGAGTGCCACCCGCGAGGCTCTTCGGACGCCTTCTGCGACGCGGAGACGGGCCAGTGCCGCTGCTTCGGCGGCGTGTACGGGCGCCAGTGCGACCGCTGCCTGCCCGGCTTCTGGGGCTTCCCCAGCTGCCAGCCCTGCCACTGCAACGGCCACGCGGACGACTGCGACCCGCAGAGCGGCGCCTGCCTCGCCTGCCGCGACCACACGTCGGGCCACAGCTGCGAGAGGTGCGTGGAGCCTGCGGGGCTCAGGGTTGCAGTTATTGCAACGCTGCAATACCTTGTAGGGTTGCAGCTATCACAGCGGGAGCGAACAGCCCCTGGCTCCTCAATGCAGAGGCTTGGGAGCAGGTCCCTTCCCTGCTGTAGCGTGGGGCGGTCGGGGCTCACTCAGCTGCCCCTGCGCCCCCAGCTCCTGCCCGCCCTGTCCCCCTCCCCAGGTGCCTGCCCGGCTTCTACGGAGACCCGGTGCTGGGCTCGGGCGATCACTGCCGGCCCTGCCCGTGCCCCGACGGCCCCGGGAGCGGGCGCCAGTTTGCCAGCGGCTGCTACCAGGACCCGGTCACGCTGCAGGTGGTGTGCGTCTGCAGCGCCGGATACATCGGTACGGGCTGGCGGGCACCAGCCTTGCAGCCCCGTGGGGAGAAGGAATGGGTGTCTGCGGGGATGGGGATGGTGCTCCCCGTCCCCCTGGTTTAAGCGGGTTCCCTGCCTCCCCTCATGCCCCGCGGTGTGTCTGCTCGGGCAGGGAGCCGGTGCGACGAGTGCGCCTCGGGCTTCTTCGGGAACCCCGGCGAGGCCGGCGGCGCCTGCCAGCCCTGCCAGTGCAACAGCAACATCGACCCCGGCGACCCCGAGGCCTGCGACAGGAGCACGGGCGCCTGCCTCAAGTGCCTCTACCACACGGAGGGCGAGAGCTGCCAGCGCTGCCGCCAGGGCTACTACGGCAGCGCCCTGCAGCAGGACTGCCGCAGTGAGTACGCGCGGCAGTGAGTACGCCCGCGGCTGCCCCGAGCTCCCGCTGCTCTGAGGGGGACGGGCTGCGTATTCTTGGGGGGCTGCAGCGGCCCAGGTTGGGGGGCGCCCCCGTGACGGCGGCCGTTGCCTTGCAGGGTGCGTGTGCAACGCGCTGGGCACGGCGCGGGAGGAGTGCGACGGCGCGGGCGGCTGCCGCTGCGAGGCGGCCACGGGGCAGTGCCGCTGCCTGCCCGGCGTCGTGGGGCGCTCCTGCGACCGCTGCGCCCCCCACACGTGGCACCTGGCCAGCGGCGCCGGCTGCGAGCCCTGCGACTGCCACCCGGTGCGCGCCCTGGGGCCCGCCTGCAACGAGGTAAGGGGGCGCCGCGGGAAGGGCGCCCGACGGCCCCCGGGAGCCGCCGCTGGATCCTGGGAGCCAGGCGAGAGGGGAGGCATGCGGGAGACACGGTTATCCTAAATGAAACGGGTCTCCCCGCTGGCTGCAGCCAAGGCCTCATGTCCGGGAGCACCGGCGTGCCCGGCTCGCTGGAACGCCTACGTGCACTGGGGATGCTCGGCCAGATGCTGCTAGAGAGCTGGGTCAGGGGAAAGGGAAGGGATCCCAGGCTTCGGGCACCACTTGTGCCATGTCCTGTTTTGGAGGTGCTTTTATACCACGGAGCCTTCCAGGGTGAAGCCCTTCCTGCTGGCGCTCAGGGTGTTTCGCTGGGCACTGCCCCACACACCGGGCACGGGGCACGTGCTGAGTTGTCGCCCTCCTGTCTTCCGCAGTTCACGGGGCAGTGCCAGTGCATGCCAGGCTTCGGAGGCCGAACCTGCCGCGAGTGCCAGGAGCTCTTCTGGGGCGACCCCAGCGTGGAGTGTCGAGGTGAGTCACGGACGTGGTCGCGCAGCGGGTCCCAGCGCGTGGCAGAGAGGCACACGGAGCTGGCGGCGGCCTGCTGGGCACACAGGAGATGCCACAGGGTCCTAGCAAGAGCCTGGCATGACATTTGCCTAATTTGTTTCATGGTTTATTGGACTGTTATTTATGAGCAAACCTATTTCTTCAGAAACTAACTCCTTTAGAAACTACCTCTTTAATTTCCACTTTGTGGTGCTGTCAGGTAAACCAGGATCTTAAGAAAATATTTTCAACAAAGAATTTGTGACGGAGAATCAATCTAGAAATGTATGTCCTTTGTCTTTAGATTTTACATAATAGGAGATGCCTGTCTATGTTTCCCTTCTTGTTAGGGAGAATGGGGTTGCAGAAGTAGGATTTTTGATTTAGAAGATTCTCCTTTTATTTCAGATGAAAATAAACAAGATTGGAGACAGCCAGTCAGTCATAGCTACATACAGCAAAACAGAGCAGCATAAGGCTGATTGTTTAGAAAACTGGATTCTGTCTGTCCTTAGGTTATAAACAAGTCTGTTCATTAGCTGGAAAAGAAACTTCAAACACTGTCCAGACCAGAACAAACTTGTATCTCTGATCTATTTAAATAGGAGTCTTTGCCAGGAGGGTTTGCTGTAGATTAAGGTATTTTTTCCTGCAGGGAGGAATGTGCTTGCTGTGGTCTTTAATAAATCCCTTACAATGGAGATACCTTCGAGCCCATTAGCTATGGGGAGAGGAGGGTCGCAGGTACTTGGCTGGTGCTGCAGATGAAAGGCCCGTGCAGTTGTCGTGGTTGCTGAGCACTTAGCAGGTTTCTCAGGAGCAATCCAGGATTTGGGCTGAGGCTCTGCATGTTCCTCAGGCTCCCAGTGCCCCAGGCAGGGAGTGGCTCCTGGTATCAGTTGTCTCCATTTGGGTTATTGATGAGGTCCCTCTGCATGCCCTGTTAGCAAGGTTCTGCTGCAGACCAGCATTTCTGGCCTTTCCTTTAGTTTCTGCTGTCTTCTGAACATGTGCAAACCTGCTTTTTAGTGTCTCTGAAGTCAGAAGAGCAGAGATTATTCAGAACCTATTTCTTCTGTGCAAGCTCAGAGCTTTCCTGCCCCAGTCACCCTTTCTGCCTCCAGAGAGCCGGGCTCAGCTGGCAGTGCTGACCTGCCCTGGGGACAGTGTCTGCAGGTGGTGTCTGGAGTGCGGGGACGCCGGTGAGATACGAGACGGGCTCCACGTAGGAGCTCCCTCTTGGAGCACATCCAGCCCCACGGCACTGCAGGAATCTCTGCTGGGCCTGGGGCGGGGGGAAATTCCTCCCTTCCCCCTCTGCCATTTGCCTTGGCAGCCTCTGAGGGAGAGAAAACACCTCACTGCAGCCCTGGTTTGTTCCCTTTTTGGTGGATTCCCAGCTCTGTGCAGCAAGCAAGCAGCTTTCTGTGATTTGTGGCAGGCAGAACTGAGGGCAAAACTGTGTTTAAGGAGCTGCAGAGTGGAGCCTGTGGAGCACAGGCTCAGCGTGGCTGTAATTGAACTGGAATCGAGACAAAGGAGGTTTGTTAGGAAGATTTAACCTTCGCTCAGTGGGGGCAGGTTTCAGCTCTGCTGGGGCACGTGGACAGCCCTGGGTGTGGGACCTACTCCAGGCAGCACTCAGTGGCCAAGGCTGCCTAAATTTCTAATAAAATAAAAAGCACTCTCATGCTGGCCCTGAATGCCAGAAGAGCAATGTTTTCAACCACATTTGTTAAGAAAATACAGGCAGATTTGAATCTGGAATTGTGCAAACTCTGAACCAGGTGAGTATCGATGAATGGTCTCCATTGCTGGCCGTGGTGTGGACACCAGGCCGTGGATGCTGTGCTGATCAGTGCAGAAGGCTGGAGGTTGCGTGACGCAGCGGTCAGGGCTGTTCACGTGTGGCCTCTTCACAGCAGACCTTTAGCCTGAGGTCACATCAGGTCTGGGAGATGATCAGGTCTGGGAGGTGCTTCTGGACACTGTTTAATCCAGGAGGTGTCTGCAACTGCGGGCCAGCGTGCGTGTGAACGTGTCCATGTGTGAGGAACTCCTTGCTAAAGCAGTAAATAGCAGGATTATGAGTTTCACCCAAGCCAGGTCTCCCGGGCATTCTCCTGGAGCTGCTCCAAAGCCAGGCATGCCGAGTGCAGGACGGGCATGCCGAGCTGCAGCTCATCCCAGCCTGCAGAGCAGGTTCCCAGCAGGGAGCTGCAAGCTCCTCAGAAGCCTCTAAGATCTAGTGGTGTTGCCCAGGCAGCTTGAGCAGTGCTTATTATGGTATTTCTGAAGCACATACAAGTTATATAATATAAAAGAAAGATAGTGATTTAACTGTCGTTATTATTTTAATAAATTGAACAGTCAGAACAGGTCACAATCAGTAGAAAGTGCGAGACTGAAAGCTGCTTTGCTCTGTCCTCTTCTTTACATGAAGCAGACGTCTCTGCTTCTCTGTGCAGAACTTCATCATCAAGTCCTGTCTTAAGAAATAGAATTTAGTTCAGCTAAGGTGAAAAGATGAAGTTTGTATCAAGTACAAGCTACAGGCTGTGGCAGAAAGGTGCATTTCTCAGTTTTGACAGTTTTTCTCAGTCTGTGTTGAGCAGCTGGTGCTGAAGTACTTGCTCCCTGGAAATTATCCTATTGTTAGTGAAGAATGGACTTGAATTTCCTAATTTAGACATCTGAGTCTTAAACTAGTTTTGTAGGCTGCTTTTATAGGCGGTGGGAGAGAAACAAAGGAGGATCAAAGGTGTCCTTTTATGTCCTTTAGACACACCATGAGTGCTTAGAATAAGTCTTCCCTAAAAGTGTTATAATTTGCACTTGAGTTTCCTAATTTTAATGGACATGTGGTCTTAGACTCTTACTATGGATTTTGGCCACTTCCAGAAAATTGCCCTTTTGGCAGGGTCTGTTAGCACGTTAAAATGCAGCCCAACTCTTAAATTTAGCTGGCATCTTATCTTAACATGCCTATTGAAAATCGTAATGCTGAGGAGTTAGCCATATGCTCGGAGTGTAACTTGAATCAATAGCTGATTATTCAGGAGAAATTTGCTAGCGCTGCAAAACGTTCAGCCTTACAAATTGCTGAATGGTTTTATCATCATCATGGCTCACTACCACCAGGAAATGATGCCAGGAAATTGTGTTTGAACAACCCTATTGTTGCTTGCCTGCGGAGGGGGTAAAAGATTTGAGGCTCTCCATCACCAGCTCCAAACTGCAAAGAAAATATTTCTGCAGGAATAATTTCCGCTCTGCTCTGTGGAGGATCATTGGTGACACTGGCACCTCGCTGCCTGCAACGTGGCATTAAAGGACACGACTGTTACTGTTCAGCCCTTTCAGAACCTATTAGATCATCTCAGCTGCAGTATCGACCAGCTTAAGTCAGCTTAAACTACAAAAACCTGTGGCACATAAAAATAGTCGGTTTAGAAATAAAAGTGAGCTCTAAATATTTCCAAGGAACGATTCCAAAGGTGTCAGAGGGAGAGAAGGATAAAGCTGTATATTCATCTTTGTAAGCTTGAAGCAAACCACCCAGTGCTTCCTTGGTGTTTCTTCCCTTAGGTGTCAACCAGGGTAAACTGAATTAACGCAGGTGGGTGCTGCTTTTATCTGTGAGGTCAGGAAGGAATTTGCTGGAAGCAGAATGTGGTGATGAAGCTGGTGTTAGAATTACCATAGACACTGGGAGTGAGCACACACATGGGTGTGTGTGTGTCTCGGAATAAATGACACCACCAGCTATCATTGCTAATTAGCAGGTTGTATCTGAACATTTTGGATAGAAAGCTTCCCTATCAAAAGTGTGATTTCATTTAAATCTAGTGCACCAGACCAGAATTCACTCATACTGAATTAAACACTGAATTAAAGCCAATACCCTCCGTTCCAAATAGCCATTTCAGAACAGTAACTAATTGTTTTATTTAGAATATGCCTCATTGAAAGCCCTCAAATCTTTGGCCAGCAGTTCCAGAAGAGACTCTTGCCCTTCGCTGTTTCATTTTCCATGGGAGGTACTTGAGTTTCTTCCTCTGCTTACTCAGGCAGATTTGATCCCTGTCTGAGATTCATCTTCCAAGCGAGCAACCCGCTCTGCCTTGTCTTATTGTTCTTTATCCCTCTTCCACCTTTCTGTATGGAAAGAAAATAATCAGCTGTTTGTCTCAAAGGCCGTTTCTCACTCAAACCAACCAGGGCATCTACTTTTCTTGTATTAAACTCAACATCTATGTGGTTTTATGGTGCAGAATGAAACTCTTTCCCCAATTTCCAGGCACATAAGCACAGGGATGGTATTTTCAAGGAATTTACTTTTTTTTTTTTTTTTTTTTTTTTGCATTTTTCCCTGTTATAGTTCTGCTCCATAGTGTACAAAGCTCTTGTTAGCGACTGGATAATAATCTGCACCACTTCTGTAGCCCTGGATGTGCTGGCCTATTACTTGTTCCTCTCAGGGAAAATAAGATGACTGGGTACAAGCTAAGAATAGATGTGATACAGCTACAGATATCCAGGTATTACTTCACATTGATGAATGGGCTGGTTGGAGCTGAACCCCCTAGAGCCACCCTATGCTCAGAAGAATATGAGAGAAAGTGTTTCCTTTGGCATGTTTGAGGACCTCAGAAACAAAACTGCCATAGCAAATGGCATCATTAGTGCTAAAGATGCATGAGTCTTGATGGCGTGGTGGCCATAGGAATGGCTGGAGGTCAGCCTTGACCTTGTTGGAGGGCTCCTTGTCCCTTAAAGGACGTGCTGGGGAGGAAAGAACTCCTGGCAGAGATGTTGGTTTTGGTGCTTTGGCTTTGGGTGCTGGGTCACACTGTGCTGTTTTGAGCAAGTCATGTGAATCAGGAAGTTTCATATTTCCATATCCTGGTTTATTTGCCTTAGTAGTTGAACATCACGTGGATCCCTTTGATGGAGCTGCATCCACCATCACGGACACGTAGCTCAGCATGTGGCTCCTCTTCTCTGGTGGTTCTTTACAGCCCATAGCACATAGGAGCTCCTCTCTTTCACACAGAGCCTCCTGCAGTCATTGGGCCTTTTGTCCCTTCTTGGGCACTGCCTTGTTCTTTGTAAGGGTCTGTGCCGTGAAATCCGGGCACACCAACATGCTCCTCCATACGTAGGAGACCTTATGTGGCTTTTGCTCAGTCTTGCTCACCTCCTCGCAGCAACTGGCTGCAGCTGAAGTCAGTGCAGGGTTTAAACCCCATCAAAATGTGAAGGTAAGACCCTGGGACTTACTCCATGCTGGGGTGTGAAATAGGCTGCTGGTGGCTAGTGGGTCACAGCTCTGGCCTCCTTTCTACTAGAGGTCCAGGACAAGGTGGACCTCTTGTCTCATGCAACGTTGGCCACCAGAAGAGGGGCTGCTGTGGGGTTTTATTATTAGCAGAGCATCCAGCAACCAAGCCATGGTCTCCAGCAGGTCTCAGAGGGTTAATTGGGAGAGCTGGCCTGGCATGGTCTACGCTTCCAAAAAGATCATAAAAAGTAGTCAAATGCAGGCATATTCCCAAGGCGAGGGGGTTGTGCAGAGCATGGGGGCTGTGGGGAGCAGGGATGCTCTTCCAGGGTTTCAGCAACTCTTTAGGCAGTGGCACAGTGATAAACTGGCCGTGGGCTGCTGTGAGGGAGGCCAGACCTGTAGATGGATCTGTAGAAAAGCCTCCCAAATTTTCCAAATGAAAACAAAATCTTCTCTTTTATCTTATTCCAGTCCCAAGGGAGACTTTTTCTTGTTTTCCTTTCAAATTTACTTAAAAATAGAGACAAAATTATCTTCAGTGTTACCTTTGGTTTGGGAGAAAGCGCAGGCCAGCGAAGAGTTAATGACTTGAGATTCCTGAGGTGAAAGGGGAAAGCATGAAGGCAGCAGTTGGAAAGCTAAGGTAGGTGTGCTGGAGTCACGGTATAGAGCTAACACAGCGCCAGCATTCCGTGCTCCCGTGCTTCCTGGAGGATCCCAAACCAGAACCAACCCATGGTACTTCTCCTATCGTCTGCTTCCCCAGTGGGGAAGCTGAGGGAATTCTAGAAATCTGATGATTCTTCCCACTGTTGTGCTGCATTTCGGGTAAATCACTCCCCTGTTATTTACCCTCTCCCTTCAGGCAGCTGCGGGGGTTGGATTTTGTCTTTGCAAATGAGCTGGTGCTTAAATTCCCTTCTCCCCAGCATTTGCTGCCTCCGGGGATTTGGGAATTCGCATTGTCATGTAAATGTTAGTGAAGTCTTGTGCTCTGCCCTCCCTCCACTCACAGGTATTCAGGGCTAGAATTACCACAAGGATGAGGCTGAGGTTTTGGTTGTTTGTTTGTTTTGTTTTGTTTTGTTTTACTTTAAACTTTTCAATCTGCAAGTAAATACAGCGACCTGCTTTGCCAGCAGCAAGTATTCTGTGTAACCTGATCACATCCTGGGATCCTGGAGCAAACCACCCACTGTTTACCCTCTTTCCTGGCGCTGGAATTTGGACAATTCACCATTATTCCGAGGCCTCAGCAGTCGCCAGGAGGTTTAACTGCCCCCCTTCAAACAGGAACTTGACAGTTTGCCTGCAGGGAGCAGATCCCATGGCAAGTTGACTGCTTGAGCACTTTTGATGTAAAGTAAAAACAATCTCTTGGGTCAGAGTGTAATTCAGAGAACAAAGGGCCCTTTTGCTCGATTGTGCAGGCAGCAGGAGTTATTTCTGTCCCTCTCCTGTCATCCTCCTCACACAAGAAAGCCATTTTGCCCCGAGTGGGTTGTTCCCCTGAGGCTCTCTGAGTCATTTCTTAAACTGGAGACACTGAAACCAACAGTTTGGGGGTCTGGAGAGCTGCTTTGTGCTTTGCCCTTCTTCAAGGGGGCACGGCAAATGTCCCTTCTTCAAATGCTCACAGCATTGGGGGAACTTTCCAGTGTGCTGGGGTGTCTGTGTTCAGTTATGGACCTCTTTGGACCGTTCATTTGTGCTAAACTTCTCTCAAGGGTGCCCGGTACATTGATGGGGATGTGAAGGCTTCCATCAGGCAGTACAGCCCTTTTCCTGCCCTGGGGTTCATTCCACCATGATGGTAGGTTGGGATGAGCCCCTGCATATTTGCAAGACCTTCTTTTCTGTTCGCTTGTTCTCTGCTGCCAGCCCTCTAGTGAAATCTTGGCAGTTTGGCTGTTTCCTCTGCCTCTCCTGCCTGGGGATTGAGAGAGGTCAAGTGGCAAGTGCTTCTCCTGAGGCGTTCCTGTGTGCAGAGTGTGGCCGTGCTCTGAAAAATGACAGTGCAGAAGAACATGAACAGAGTGACTTCTCTTTATAGTGGGTTAGAGCTAAAGAAATGTGTATTTCTTCCAAAAGCCTGTTAGGAAAGGGAGTTGCCCAGATGTTATCGGGCCTATTTGGCAAGCCACCTGGGGCTGCCGGGTCTCACCTGACTAGCAACTATCAAGCCCTGCCTGTTTTTAAAAGCAAAAGTAAAATGAAAATCCATTTGAGGAAGGTGCAGATGCTGCCTCCCAAGATGATCCTCAAAAGCCTGTTAAAGAGCTTTGCTGTCTCCTAACCATGACAAGCCCTGTGTGCAGCCCCCTCTTGGTCTTCAGCACTCCTGTCAGCAAAGACAAGGTTGCCTCTCTTATCACTCTCCTTTGTTTTCCTTTCTTTCTCTTCTGCTTTTCACTGCCTGTTTTTTTTTCTTTTATTTTGTTACCAGCTTTGCACACCCCAAACATCAGCCCAGGGCCAACTGCTACAAAGCCTCATTTGGCCCCAGTTCTGGCCTGGAAAAGGGTAGTGAAGCATTATTTCTTTTTCAGCCTTTCCCTCTCGCTTTATTTTTAATTCTCTCTGTGTGCCTCTTGATCACTTCTTTGCCGGGCTGGGGAGCTTTACTCCACTTACTCTTCAGAACAGAAACACAGCTGGGCTCTTGGCCTCCGGTTCCTTTCAAACCAGTGGTCTTCACCCCTGGCAGAACTGGGTTTTCACTCCTGGCAGAACTGGGTCTTCACCCCTGACAGAACTGGCCCGTTCTGCTCCTGCATGGCACCTACATCCAAGATGTGTGAACAGGGCCCTCTGTCTCCCTGGATTTATTTCCTCCCTCTTACACTGAGCCCCGTTTCTCACAGCCCCATCCACGACTCCCTCTCTACTCCTTCCCCTCTTCATTGCAGATCGGTTCTTCTCTCCGTGGTGCCCTCGCGGGCCTTTCCTTCCCTGCCCCTCTCACTCGCTGTCCCTTTCCACCCTCGCAGCGTGCGACTGCGACCCGCGGGGCGTCCAGACGCCGCAGTGCGACCGCGCCACGGGCCGCTGCGTCTGCCACGACGGCGTGGAGGGGCCGCGCTGCGACAAGTGCAGCCGGGGCTACTCGGGCCTCTTCCCGGCCTGCGTGCCCTGCCACGAGTGCTTCGCCCTCTGGGAGCTGCTCGTGGGCGCCCTGGCCAACCGGACCCAGCAGCTGCTGCGCAGAGCCGACGCGCTGAAGGTGACGGGCGTCACCGGGCCCTACCGGCACACGCTGCGCGCGCTGGAGGAGAAGCTGGGCGAAATCCAAAGCATCGTCGCTCAGAACCCGGCCGCCGAGCCCCTGAAGGACATTGGCAGCCTCTTTGAGGAGGCAGAGTGAGTACAGGGCCGTTGTGGCGCGGCGAGCACGGAGGGACAGGCTCTCTAACACTGCCAGTTGCCATTTCTCTCACGAGTTTTATTTTAAAGCCGAGCCTACACAGGAAAGTAGGCTTTAGGACATCTCAGAGGTTCAACATCCACACTGAGCGGGTGTTTTCTGCGTGTGTGCAGCTGGTAGAGTTGGCTCGTGCAGGGTTAAACGGGCTGCACGAAGCAGAGAGCAGAGGATTAGAGCACATTAGAGCACAGATGTCTCAGTTAGGGATGCTCCCTCGCTGCAGGCTGAGGGCTGGGGGCTGCTCCTGCCTTTGGGCTCTGTGGGTACCAAGAGCAGTCAGAGCAGCTGCAGAGCTGCTTTCCCTAACACACACACATATAAATATATATACACATATATATGTGTACACACTGCATTTAAGTAGCTGCTCTTGCTTCTCTTGAGCTGTAGAAAGCATCAGGCTTTGCAGGACTGCAGGGAAGGAAGAGGCTCTTGGGCTAACAAATAAGCGGGGTGTAAATTGAGCTCGAGAGTAAGAATTGCCCGATGCTTTCAGGATGAGGAAACGCTTCTGGTGAGTCACCCTGGGAATAACTTCCTATGCCCAGCTCGGTTCTGCAGCCGTGCTGACTTGAGGGATGTATTTGCCTTTCCTTTTAGGGCTATCCCACAAACTAAAACCTGCTCTGTGGTTTAGTAAGGCCGTGCTGAATACTGAGAGCAGGCGAGCTGCTGAGGAGGGCTGTTTGCAGGCGAGTTAAAAGAAGCCATTGTGTTGCAAGCAAGGCATTTTTCCCCCCTTTCCTGAAGTTCAAATCTGTCCCATGAGTTCGTAGCAATCAAAACTGCATTTGTAGCTGTGTGGGATGCGAAGCAAATTATGTATGGATCATAGTAGTCAACTTTGACCTGTGCAGTTGCTATGGCACAAGAGCATTACAGCAGCGCTCTGGAATCTGCCTCCAGTTAATTTCACACAAAGCAGCTGTTTTCTGAGCAATTTGGTGCTTTGAGTTTATAAATGTGCTGTAGATTAAGAAGCAGTTGTGTGTGATAAAGGGAACAAACCCAGCGTTGGAGGCAGGCGTGTTGTTACAAATCACGTACAGCTCCGGCGCGGGAGGACGGGTCGCGCCGTGGGAGAACCATGGTGCTCTGCCGTGGTCCCCAGTGTCCTGGCCCCCCTGTTTTACAGAAAGCTGACAGCAGATGTCACGGTGAAGATAGCCGACCTGGAAGAAAGCCTTGCAGCGTTAGCCCTGGAAAGCAACAGCACAGACACAGACCTGAGCGCGCTCGAGACCGATGCCAAGAGCCTGGAGCGCGTCGTGAAGGAGCTCGCCGAGCAGCTGGAGTTCATCAAGATCTCTGACGTGCGGGGTGAGTGTCGAGGGAGGGGCACCAGTGGTTTAACCTGCGTGTGGTTTTAAATGCCAGGTTAATCTGCTAATAAAACTCGTGCCCCTGGGAGGGCAGCTCCGTTGTGTGCATTAGCAGAGCTGCTGATGCAGCGGGAAGTTTGTGCTGCCCCCTTCCCCGTCCCTCTTGAGCTCTTGGTGCACAGAGTTACCTGGAGGTGTCTCCATTAATACATGAGAGACCAGGCACAACGGCTAAAAGGACAGAAAAGCCCGTGTGATTCTTGTCCCCGTTTTGTTAAACGGCTGTTCCTGTTGGAAAGGCCACCCGAGTCCTCCCAAATCGGCGCACACGGTGAGGGCCCCCTTCTGCAAGGCTCGCCTGCCCCTTGCCTCATCCAGCTGACAAACCTCAGGCACAGGGGGGAAATTTGCTGGAGCTGGAGGAATGTTACCAAAGCCTTGGGAAAGCTGGAAAGCTGACTTGGTTCCAACTAGAAACAAAGGCGGATTTCCAGCTTCGCAGGAAGTCGGAGTCCGTTTCCCAGGCACGTGGGATTTCCCAGAGCGAGGTGGCCGGGATGCAGAAGCGCGGGAGCCCCCCGGCTTGCAGCGGGCTGTGCCGTGGGGCAGCCCCAGCCCCGGGCCCCCCCGGGGGCCTGCGCAGAGTTAACTGCAGCACTCGTAAATCAGCCGCTTTCAGCAGGCAGCTCTGTCCCCGTGAGCTCTCAGCAGTTCCAAGCAGTGACTCCATGGGCAAGACATCCCAGGGCAAGCGGAGAGCTAACGGGAGAAGTGGGTCTGCAGGGAATTAGCTCTTGCCCTGTAAACCTAAAGCGTTGGATCTTTTTTTCCTCCATTTTTTTTTCCATCAAGATAAACAATTAAATCACTAGGTCAGAGAAATTGCAGCTTTTAATTCTAGCAAATTTCACACACTCAACCTAGCAAAAAAAGGAGCTTTTTGCCTTGTGGTGGGCTGAATCCTGTCATCCCTTCCCCTGTGGCACCAAGTGCAAACACAAAGGCCAGCATTTCATTTAACCTGGCTTCTAGATAGCTGAAAGAACAGATTTACACATCTCACCGAGACGTGTCACCCAGCGGCCTCCGCCACGACGGCTCCTTGGCCGCACTGACCAAATTGCTGAGCGTGCTGGGTCTGCTTCCCACAGGAGCCCTGGACAGCATCACCCGGTACTTCCAGCTGTCCCTGGAGGCCGAGGCCAGGGCCAACGGCTCCACGGCCGGCGCGGGCAGCGCGGTGGCGGCGTCGGCGCAGACGCGCCGGGACGTGGAAGACCTCGTGCGGGAGCAGCAGGCGCGCTTCCAGGCCGGCCAGGAGGAGCAGTCGCGGCTGCTCGACGAGCTGGCGGGCAGGCTGCAGAGCCTCGACCTCGCCGAGGTGGCCGAGAAGGTAGGAGGGCGCGAGGGGCCGGGCTCAGGCTGCAGCCATGCCGAGGGGTGGCTGTGAGGAGGGGACAGGCTGGGGACGAGCCCTTTGGGAGCTGCGCTGCGACGCACGGGGTGCGGGTGGAGAAGGCATTTCTTGGCGTCGGGGGCGTTTTGTGAGCGTGGACAGGGCTGCTCCACTCATGGGCGCTGAGGGACCCCCGGAGCTGCCCGGCCCTGGGGTGGCTGCTCCCGGCTCCCTCGGGCTCCTGTGAGAGCAGCCCCCAGCCGTGGGTGCCAAGGGCCCCTCCTCAGCCAGCAACACGGCCCTGGGGTGGCACCATCCTTGCGCCTCGCCCTCCATCCCGGGGAGCAGGCCGCTTCCAGGCTGGATTTCCCCTCCCCGCATTCCCAGCGGGCACATTCCTGTGCGCTGGGATCTCGGGGAGATGTTTATCGGCGCTGTGACAAATGACTTGCTCGGAGGTGATCACAGGGCGCCGAGAAAAGCCCCTGTGCTTTCCAGCTGCTGGGATCATGGGGCACATGATCCCTCACCAGCAGGTGAGAGGGAGCCATGTACACGGCCCAGGCCTCGCTGCTCCGGGATCCCCTTGGGAAAAGGGGCCGCCCGCCGCTCCCTCCGGCTGCAGCCGCTCCCTGCTCGTGCTGGGGTCCCAGCAGGGACCCGGGCGTGAGGAAGGAGCACGGAAACCCCAACCCGAGCAGAGCGTCTGTGGGAGCCCCTCCCGGCACAGCAGTGCACAAATTGTAAAGAAAAAGAAAAAAAAAAGTGTTTGGGGAAGGTAGACCCAGAGCAAACATCAGGAAAATCAGGAATCAGGAAAAAGGGGACAGGCTTAAAGGGGATTTTGGATGGGGGGTATCCCTTAACAACTGCTTTCCAGCTTCTCACTCTTTTCCTCCCCTATTTCTGGTGTGCTAAAGCAGGTGAAAGGTAAGATCCTACACCGAATATCTTCTATATAAATATATAGAATAGAAATATTTTATTTATATAAATGTGTATATAGAAGAGCTCCCTGGGCAGCTTTTCCCCAGGACGGGAGGGGATGATGAGCGGGACGCTGGCTTTCCGAGCTGTCCGCCTGGACACGGGAGGCAGCAGCAGCAGCAGTGACCTGCAGCACCCATCCCGCTCCGTGTCCCGCAGACGTGCGGAGCGCCCCGCGGGCTCCCGTGTGCCGAATCCGCGTGCGGCGGCCTGGGCTGCCGCACGCCCGAGGGCCGCAGGAAGTGCGGCGGCGCCGGCTGCGAGGGGCTCGTCACCGCCGCGCACGGCGCCTGGCACAAGGCCATGGATTTCGACAGGGACATCCTCAGCGCCTTGGCCGAAGTGGAGCAGCTCTCCAAAATGGTAACGTGCCAAAGCAATCATTAAATATTAAAAAAAAATGGGAAAAATATTTAGCTGCGACGTGATTTTAGACGCTAACGGCTGCGGTGCCCGGCTTGCCTCGAAGGGCTGCTTTGCTGGTGTGTAACTTTGCTGTGTTTTTAAAGCTCCCTGCAAAATGAGCTTGTTAAAGTGAGGTTCTGTGCGTATCTGTAAACATCAGCCTCAGTTGTTTAAATGAACGTTGCTGCTGGGGATTGCAGCCAGCTTTTAAAAGTGCTCAGGGAGTTTTATGAGGAAGAGCATTTCCCACTACCGTTACCTCTGCCTCCAGCTGCATTTTTGTTGTAAAACAGGCCGCAAAACAGAAAGGAAATCAGGTCCTCTCTTTCTACACCCCAGGTTTCTGAGGCGAAGCAGAGAGCAGATGAAGCAAAACAGAACGCCCAGGAAGTTCTGCTCAAAACCAACGCCACGAAAGAGCAAGTGGACAGAAGCAACGAAGATCTGAGAAACCTCATCAAACAGATCAGAGACTTCCTCATGCGTAAAACCTCACTCTTAAATTACCTGTTCTAATGCTGCTTGTGTGAAAACCCTGCCCCTCATCCTCCAGGGGCAGCACAATAATTCCGCTTTTCAGCCAGCCTTAATGCATAGGAGGCAATCTTGAAACCAGAGAAAGCCAAATCAATGGGGGAGTGAGGGCGGCCTGCGAAGTCTTACTCTGCTGTTGTGTTTTGGTAGCTTGCCAAGGCAGCTCCCGGGCTCGGGAGAAAGACAGAGTTCTGTTAAAGGGAAGGGCAGTGGAAGCCCCGAGTTCCTCCCTCAGAGACGAGGGCCTTGCTTAGGGGTGAGCTGCCCACAGCACCCCCTTCCGTGCCCGTTTGCATGAGGATGTGACTGCTGCTGGAACAGACACGTTTATGAGCAGGTCTTGGCTTTGTTACTGCTGCCTCTCGTCTCCTCCCTGCAGCCCCATCATGGGGGGCTGGTCATGAGGGCCCAAGGCCTCGCCAGGCCTCGCCTTAGCAGGGGAGGTTTCACCCCAAGAAAGCGCTTTTAATGCCTTTATTTCACAGAATCACATAATCACAAAGTAGTTGAGCTTGGAAGGGACCCCTAGAGACTATCTAGTGCAGCCCCCTGCTCCAGCAGGGACACCCAGAGCACGGGGCACAGGGCGGCATCCAGGCGCCTTTGGAAGATCTCCAGAGAAGGAGACTCCACAGCCTCCCTGGGCAGCCTGGGCCAGGGCTCTGGCACCCTCACACCAAACAAGTTCTTCCTCACATGCACGTGGAGCTGCCTGGGTTTCAACTTGCACCCACTGCCCCTTGTCCTGTCACTGGCCACCATTGAGAAGAGTTTGGCACTTTCCTCCCTACATTCCCCCTTCAGATACTTAGACATACTGATCAGATCCCCTCTCAGCCTTCTCTTCTCCAGAGAAAACAGGCCCAACTCAGTCTCTCCTCGTACGAGAGAGACATCTCCTGCAAGTCTCAGGGAAAACTAAGTTCTTTGGTTATTTTAAGGAGCAGCGAGGCAGCTCTTTGAGTGCTGAGCCTCAGCAGTGGCCTCCACGACACTGTCACTCACGTGTGTCTTCGTGTGGTTCCTCCAGAAGACAGCGCCGACCTGGACAGCATTGAGGCGGTGGCCAACGAAGTGCTCAGCATGGAGATGCCCAGCACTCCCCAGCAGCTGCAGGCCCTGACAGAAGAGATCCGGGAGCGCGTGGAGAGTCTCTCCGACGTCGAGGTCATCCTGCAGCAGAGCGCGGGGGACATCGCCCGAGCAGAAATGCTCCTGGAGGAGGCTAAAAAAGCCAGGTACACGGCCCTGGGCTGCACTAGCTCCGTTCTGCATCACCAGCAGCTTGAAGGAGCTCCAGCTTCCTTCTGGAAAATGATGAGTCAGAAAAATGATGAGTTTAACTTACGCCCAGAGGGCAAAGATGGTCCTCCGTGGTACTTCTCTTTTTCCAGTGCCAATATGAACGTGTTTTCAGTACTTGCCTGTTTTTTTGCTCCACAGCAAAGGTGCCACAGATGTTAAAGTCACTGCAGACATGGTGAAAGCAGCACTGGAAGAAGCTGAAAAAGCTCAAAACGCAGCTGAAAAAGCCATCAAACAAGCCGATGAAGATATTAAAGGCACTCAAGACCTGCTGACCTCAGTGAGTTCTTACAGAGTATTTATTAAGATAGACAAACACCAAGACTGATACTTAGAAAGCAATGTCAGCTTCTCTGAGGAAAGCCCCTCAGTACATCAAAGCCCATCAAAGACTGCATTCAAATGACTCTAAACCTTTCTTGCCTCTGCATAAGCTTTGTAAGTTAGTAGGTCAGATGCTTAGGGGCTCATTTGCTCTTAGAAGAAAAGGCTTTTCTTCCCCCCTATTCAGCACCAGTGAAGTGAAATGAGCAGGATCAGAGCCCTGTAAGCAGCGGGTACCAAGATCACCCAGGGCAAGCACAGCCTGGTAATATATTGGGTAGACAGGGGCAGGATGAGATTGTTAAAAAAGTGTAATATTGTCAGATATTTAGAGGTTTCAACAGATGGTCATAGCCCTGCTGACACCACAGTGCCATACCCATGAAGCCTGGCCAGCTTGCAAGATGCACAACCTACCAGGTCATATTGAATGACAGAACCCACTGTCTGAAGTTTTGCTTCTGCTGAGGCAACTCTTAGCCCTGTGTGATAGCAGCAAGTTATTTTAGACTAAATTTCTTAATGGTCTTTGTAGCCCCATGTTATTTTTAAGGTGGACACTTTCACCCTCGCTGCCATTAGCCATGTTGAACAGGAATAAAACACTGCTTTTTGTCTCAGATCTGTGACCGTGAATTGATACGGGGTGCTGAGGGCTTACCCAGAAAGCAGAGTGTGGCACGGGTTGTCTTTCAGAAAATGTAACTGTTGTTCCTCCTCCTGCTTAGATTGAATCGGAAAATTCAGTGTCTGAAGAAACCCTCAACAATGCAACCTTACGCCTCTTCAAGCTGGAAAAGAGTGTTGAAGATCTGAAGCAAAAGGCTACTACCAATTCAGAGAACGTGGACGACATAGAAGAAAAAATCAGTGCTGCAAAGCAAAACGCTGAGGAGGTTAAACAGGTGAGAAATTTGGGGAATATGCCAAAGGAAGATCAGCAGTATTCAGAGTCCAGGTTGGGCCGGGGTGCCTCAGTGGGTGTATTTGAGCCTGTTCAGGTCCAGTATTAGGAAGCTGTCAAGTTCCAAAGCAGTGGCAGGAGAGAGATCTTGCTGTCACACTGGCAGCCTGCCCTTGCTTGTGAGCATCAGCTTTCCTATGTGCTGCAGGAGATAAGCTTTCCTCCCCTCTCTCCTCCTTATATGCCCACTATCAGTGAAGAAAGTGACCAAAATCCTTGGCTCCATCTAACCTGGAGTCATTTTAAATATCACAGAGGATGAATAAGTCCTTTTAAGATGCTGGATGGCATCTCCAGATGCCTGCTATTCACCTTCCCCTTTGTAACACCCAAAGCTTTGCATGTTCCTTAACTAAACCACTAAGTCTGTCAAAGGAGGTCCCCTTGCCCCAATCTGGGGGCTGCAGTTAAGCCCTTGATCTCCAGAGAGCTGTTTTCCATCGGGAGAAGCATCCATCAGTTTTCATCCCTCCCAGGACTATTTGCAGGCAGGATTTCGGGCGGCTGCTGGGTGAGCACAGGAGCCTCGCGGCGCTGCTGCCTTTCGGGGACTTGCCTGTTTGCTGAATTCCCTTTGGTCCCAGTTTTCCTGGCTTTAGCCTGTAGAGAAAAGCAGAGCCGAGGAGCCCGCACGGCACTGGCCGGGCACCCACGCTGTGGGAACAAGGCGGCTCCTGTTCCTGAAAGGACACCAAGGCTGCTGCTCCCTAGCGACCTTCAGCCCCCTCCTCCCCCTCACATGCAGCTTTCCAGCACGCACCAGGGCCTGAGGCGTCCGTTAATTAACAAAATTGTGCTAATGAACCCAGTAAATCCTTAACAAACACTAGTATGAACGCTGCAGAGCATCTGCAAAGAGGGCCCTCATCATTCAAGCTGTGGGTATTCGAGTGGGAGACCCCACAGCGCACTTTCCCCTTTGGTTAAACGAGGTGACACTGTCCCCTTGTCCCCCACCGCGGTGCCCGCAGCGTCGGCTCCCCCGCACAGTCCCTTAAGGGCTCCCTCCGTGTGGTGCTTGCAGGTGCTGGGCGGCGAGCTGAGCAGCAAGTACCGGGCGGCGGAGGAGCTGCTGGCGCGCAGGACCGAGGAGGCGGCCGAGGCCAGGCGCAAGGCGGAGCGGCTGCAGGACGAGGCCAGGGCGCTGCTGGCGCAGGCGAGCGGCAAGCTGCAGCTGCTGCAAGGTGAGCTCCCCCTGAGCTCCTCACCAGGAGGGGACAATTACCACAGGAAATGAGCAGGTCGCCTCCTCAGCGAGGTGGCATCGGCGGGGTTGTTCCTGTGGGCACAGCAGAGCCCACAGGGGATCCAAGGCTTCCCAAGAAAGGGACATCCTGCCCCAAGGCACAGCGGGAGGAAGGCGCCTTCCCTCCCACTGTGCCAGGCCGGAGCCCGTTCTTCCTCCCCTCAGCATGCAGTTACAGTGATTGGTCTTGAGCACAACTACTCAAAACCCTTCAGTGTTCTATAAAAACCCACCCAATCTTTTACCTTTCTTTTAATCTTTAAATATATATATATTTACCTTTTATTTATTCATTTATTTATTTTAACACCAATTTGGGCAATTATTGTCAAAGAAATCTTTCAGATTTCCACCTATGGAAAATGACTCCCTTGCAGATTTATGTTCCAGTACCAACAAAAAGTGCCAAAACCACAAAAAACTTCGCATTTTTTCTCCTCGGTGACAGTCTTTTCCACAACGATATTAACTTGAGTGGTAGTTTGCCCATAACAATAACTATTTTACGTATTAATGCATTAAAATCTTCCCCATTAACCCATTTTTTCCATTCCTTTCTGACAGACTTGGAGAATACATATGAAAACAACCAAAAAGTTCTGGAAGACAAAGCCAAGCAGTTGGTGGTGCTGGAAGAGACAGTTCGCTCCCTCTTGCAGACTATCAGCCAGAAAGTTGCTGTTTACAGCACTTGCTTATAAATGGGGGCAGCAAATGCTTGACAAAATGTGTTCAGGGTGGATTTTACAAGTATTACACTAGCTCTTTTTTTGACATTACACTAAGGACTGATCAAGTGACCAGGTTTGATATTGACTTCAAGTCACAGAGCCAAAGATAAGTAATTTTTTTGATGTTGAAAATAAACAGTACTTTTTTTTTTAAATCACTCTATGTATCTAGTATGACTCATTAGCTGCTTTGTTATTAGCCCAAATGGTAAATCAGTTAATCCTTTAGCTTCTGCAAATTGTTTTTAAACTAGTTAGAGAATATCCTAATAAAATCTTGGCACCGACTGTACAGTTCTACCTAAGGGCTCCAATTACTGTGGAATATGGGATCATCCTCCCACAACACAGTCAATGGTCAATAAAGGCAGACAGGCCTTGGGTTGCAGGCTGGGATTTCCACCACCTTAGTGGGCTAAAAGGACTATTTACAGTCTGCGGGATGTGGATTTAGGCTAAATCCACAAGTGCTACTGGACCAAAAGCCCCGAGCTGTGAAGTGGACACAGAGGACAGCGTTTAAGAGGTGTGTGGTTTGTACTTGAAGCACCAAATTTGAGTGATTAACCGAGTCTGGAGGCTCCAGCCTCTGGGAAAGGAAGTGCCGTGTTGAGGGAGCCTTCAGTGTGAACGAGATGGGCTGCACGGAGGCTTTTCTAGAGCCAGCCTCCCAGGTGTGTTGGTAAGCACAGGCCAAGAGCAGCAGCAGCAGCAGCTCGTTGTTCACTGCAGGTTTCTCATTCTTGGCAGAATGGTGCCCCTTGAGGCAGCCCTGCAGCACTGCAAGCAGCAGCAGTTAGAGAGGCCCAAATCAGCATCCTCCTCCTAGGCAAGGTTACCTGGTGCTAAGCTTAAAGGCCCTGAGCTTCCTCGCAGCTGCATCTAGACTCAACACAGCTGAAAAGGCAGTTTTACTGGTGCTTTTTATTGCTTGACATACATTTTCCTCATTGAATACGACTAAAGGATCAACACTTGAAGGAGCAGCAAGCACCTTGTGTGCACACCAGGGCAGGAGCTGTTGCCAGCTGCTTTACTGCACCTTTCTCATCCCTCACCCGCCGGCACAAGGAACGAGGCCACGAACGGCCCCAGCCCCTGTCGAGCTCTGGCTGTGCAAAGCAAGGAGGGAGCCGAACAAAGGCCCCACAAAACAAAAGTTTAATTAAACTACATGAATTTCACACACTCTGTATACAAGAGGTATCCTGAAAATGCCATTTTCTGCTTTTATCCCATAACCCAGACACTAGCAGGAATGCCAGGGCTAGTCAACAGCAACACACCGAAGAAAACCAAGAGTTTCCAGCCACGTTCAGCATTTATTAGTGGAAGGCTACAGACCTTTCACATATTAAGCTCTCTTGCTACAGGAGAGATGCAAGGAGAGCATAAAATAAAAATAACAGGAAAGAAGGAAGGGAAAATTCTGAAGTGTGGAGAGCTGGCACTGCAGCCCTGACATGCGGGAAGTGCAGGAACCCTCATGCCCCTGGACTCAGCAGCGCTGCTTCAGCAGCCACATTTAGCTTTCTGAGATACCTTAAGACAGGTGGACAGTGGGAAAAGCTTCAAAATCAAAAGGATTATGTAGCAGTAAGATTAATTTTTCTTCAGTTTTTTCATTTCTCCATCAGCACTTGATTTTTTTCCCCTGCTGAGTTTTCAATATGAAAACACAATGTGTGGAGAATCACACACAAATGGAGTAATTTCCACTTTTAAAAAAGTTAATATAGTTTTAATGCACATAAATGAGCCCCTCCCATAATCCTAACGCTACTAAATCAAAATGACTCTGTAAATACCAAGTTAATCCTTTCACAAGGAAACACCACAATATTTTTGTGCGGAAGTGACAGTGGCGTTTTAAGTGCCAGCATTCAACTGGTTTAGTCTATCACTACTTCAAATAAGGACACACCAGATAGGCTGGGCTCTTGGAGTCTTGACCAGCACACCCAAAACGTTTGGTTTCATAAAAAGAAAAATGAGTTCTTTCAGGCATTTTTTTCCTGCAACATTCATAAAGTAAATAAGCATGTAATTTTAAGTATTTAATTTACAGAGACTGGATAATTCAACTTTCTCCAAACCCTATTTGGTTAAATATTTGCTGCTTAAAAGGAGGAGATTCACTTAATTCAGTCCTAGCATCTCCGACTCGGCGTTCCGCGCAGCGCACGTGCGGCTCTCCCTGCGCACGGTCCAGGGCTGCTCTTCCCCTTCAGAAGTTGATGGCTTTGCCAAAAGAGGCTGCTAGGTTGGCTTCCCTGAAGGCTTCTGACACTGTCTGTAGAGGGCAAACGGGAGGAGTCGTTAATTAATTAACTCTGCACATAATTACAGCAAGTCGAAGCAACCCCATTGCTCGTTAATTTGTTCCTTTACTTACCGGATGCGCGTGGCAAACCCTGGCTACATCCTCACACGATGCTCCGTACTCCATGGCAAGAGCTGCCTCGTTAACCATCTCGCCAGCACCCTGAAATCCAACGTTATCTGTAATCAGCTTGGATCTCTAAGCAGTTCTCCAGGTCCTTCTGAATCACTAGCTAGTACCTGGCTTGTCAATAAACATCTTTTGAATAGTTTTAAGTCTCCTTTTCAGCAATCCGCTTGGTGACTGGGCTCAAGCTTAAGAGAAGTATGAACGATCCTAAGTCAGATCAGCTGGTCTTTCATTAATGAAGACTGTGGGGGAAAATGTCCAATTTTGAACAAGATGCCAGGCGGATAGTGCCCACATTCTGATCAGAGCTACTGCAGACTATCCCTTCTGGAGGAGGAAAAAAAAAAAAAAAAAACCACCCAAACCAGCAACGACAAAAGCAAAATAATAGTTTTTAAAGAACACTAGTGTGCTGACAATGCAACTGTAGGAACAAAGTTTCCTTTCCAGGAAAACAGAAGCCTCAGTCTGGTCTTTTGCAAAAAACCACTCTACAAAGAGGTACGGAAGTGCTTCTGTCTGCACCCTTAGGCAGATAGAGGAAAATGATCCTTTTTCCAAATAGAATTTTCTGGTTTCAAATTTTTACATGGAATTTTTTCGAAGTCCCACAGGCCACTGATAGAAGATCTGGTGAAATAAGGTACCAACAATTCCGCTGAAGTCTAAAGTTCAGAAAAATCTACAAAGTCACAGTCTGTTCAGTCTCTTCCAGAATTGGGTCAAAACCTGCTGTTCCTTGGCTGAATTAGTCAGAGCCCTAAAGCACTTCAGTGCTTCTAAGCAAAAAACCACAGTCGAATCCAACTACAAACTGAAACAAAAATGAGAGGGTGGCTGCAACAGCAAGAAGAAACGGCTTTAGGAAACTCAAGTCTTCCTTCTTTCTGTAAACCTCTTTCTTCCTAACGTGGTAACCACCTCGCAGGTGTAATACCAAAGAGAAGCTCTCTCAAGACAGCACTGAGCACGATACTTACTGCACCCAGGATGTGAGCACCCAGCATCCTGTCCGTGGATTTCTGGCTGAGGATCTTGACCAGGCCGTCCGTGTCGGCGTTCGTCTTCGCTCTGCTGTTGGCAGCAAAGGGAAACTTCCCAACTTTGTATTCGATGCCCTACAAAACAGCTCTGTTACTGACACACAGTTAATTGAGGGCCTGGAAGACCAACAAGAAAAATGGAATCAGATACCAACAAGAAGAATGTAACCAGGCGGACAGTTGGGTAAGTATAAAAATAGAAGTCAACTAATGCATAAAAATACTAAAAAGCTATAAAAATGAATAATTAGGGGGGGAAAAAAGGACAGTCTGTAACTTTACAGACTGCAGGTGGTGATACCTGCTTTACAGACAGCAGGTGGTGATAAATGGGGCCGAGTCCAGTTGGAGGCCTGTGGCCAGTGGTGTCCCCCAGGGGTCAGTACTGGGCCCAGTGCTGTTCAACTTGTTTATCAATGACCTGGACGAAGGCACGGAATGCACCCTGAGCAAGTTTGCAGATGACACCAAGCTGGGTGGAGTGGCCGACACTCCGGAGGGCTGTGCTGCCATCCAGAGGGACCTGGACAGGCTGGAGAGTTGGGCAGAGAGGAACCTCATGAGGTTCAACAAGGACAAGTGCAGGGTCCTGCACCTGGGGAGGAATAACCCCAGGCATCAGTACAGATTAGGGGTTGACCTGCTGGAGAGCACCTCCACGGAGAGGGACCTGGGAGTCCTGGTTGACACTAAGTTAACCATGAGTGAGCAGTGTGCCCTCGTGGCCAAGAAGGCCAATGGCATCCTGGCCTGCATCAGGAGGAGTGTTGCCAGCAGGTCAAGGGAGGTGATTCTGCCCCTCTACTCAGCTCTGGTGAGGCCGCACCTGGAGTACTGTGTTCAGTTCTGGGCTCCCCAGTATAGGAGGGACATGGAGCTTCTGGAGAGGGTCCAGAGAAGGGCAACCAGGATGATTAAGGGAATGGAACATCTCTCGTATGAAGAGAGGCTGAGTGAGCTGGGCCTGTTTTCTCTGGAGAAGAGACGGCTCAGAGGGGATATGATTAATATGTATAAGTTCAGGAAGGGAGAATGCAGGGAGGAAGGGGACAGGCTGTTCTCACTGGTGGCCAGCGATAGGACGAGGGGTAATGGCCACAAACTGAAGCACAAGAAGTTCCGTCTCCAGGTGAGGAGCAACTTCTTTACTGTTAGGGTAACAGAGCAGTGGAACAGGCTGCCCAGGGAGGTTGTGGAGTCTCCTTCTCTGGAGGTCTTCAAAACCCGCCTGGATGCCACCCTGTGCCACATGCTCTAGGTGTGCCTGCTTGAGCAGGAAGGTTGGACTAGATGAACTGTAGAGGTCCCTTCCAACCTTAAATATTCTGTGAATCTGTGAATTTACAAAATAGAAGGCATTAAGAGGACCCTCATTCTTGTGAGTGGCCTGGAGGAGAGACTTGAATTCTTCAATCATGCACTGTACACAACAAATTCAGACTGAGAAATTCTCTTAGGAGACACAAGGCAGATAAAGAACCACCACTCGACTGCTGCAGCTACGCCCCGAGGGCAGAGCGCTTTGGGTGGGAAGGACCAAGGGGCAGTACCTCCTCTTTCAGCTGCTCCTCCGACTTGCCCACCCAGGCCACCTCCGGGTGCGTGTAGATGACGGAGGGGACGCAGTTGTAGTCGATGTGGACGGCTCCCCCGGCCATGCCCTCGACGCACAGGATGCCCTCGTCCTCGGCCTTGTGCGCCAGCATGGGCCCCGCCACGACGTCGCCGATGGCGAAGATGCTGTCGGAGCGAGGACACAGAGCCAGACACCCTTTAAACACGTCCTCGCGCCGCCCGCCAGGCCCTTCCGCAGGCTGGATGTATCACTTAAACCAAAAACTAGCCACGGGAACATAATAAGGGTCAGAGGAAATACAAGGGAATATCCGTCAGGAATTTCGGAAGAGGGGCGGGGGGCTGGTTCACCGAACGAGCACATTCCAAAAAGCACCACTAAGAGAAGACACAGTAACTTTTAAACTACAGAAAGTCTCAAACTTGACTAAATATCTTTATTTGCTGAAGCAAACAGATGCTCTCAGCTTTTCTTTTCTACAGAAAACTATCCAGTAATTAAAAATGAAAAAAAATGTAATTTTTACAAATTCTACTTAAAAATATCAAAAAATAACATTTAATATCACTTACTTTGGAATCTTGGTTTGAAACCTGTTATTGACTGGAATTCTGCCCTTCTGATCAAGTTCAATTCCGATATCTTCGAGACCGAGGTTTTTTGTGAACGGCCGCCTCCCGATGCAGACCAGGAGCACATCACAAGTTATAACTTCGGCCTTGCCACCAGCAGCAGCTTCAACACTGCAGACAAATAAATGGGCAACAAGAATGTCAGCCTGCAAGCCAGGCTCCTCTGGCAAGCAGTCCGTGCGATCCAGAGGGTGAGGTCTGGATCTGGCACCCACGACACTTACACCCAGGCTGCTCCCGCCCCCAATACCCTCCCCATTCCTTGCAGGAGCGGAGGTGTGGAAGAGGGAGAAAGGGACAATAACTGGTCCTGTGTTTGTCAGTAACTCAATGGGCAACTGGGGTTCATGTGGTCTGGGTGCAGAGCAGGGAAGGGCAGCAAGCTAAGGGAGGATAACTAGGAAATTTGCTCAAAACAACTTGCTTCCTGGACCCAGGTGAAACACTAAACACCGGCACAGGCTACATGTGACCCAGTCAGCATCAACCTAGCACATAAGGCCCAAATCCATGACCTTCACAGCAGAGAAGAACAGAATATCCTGAGGAATGGAGACGGAGAAGCTAACGCTGCCCATGCTAAGGTCCCAGGGAAATAACAAGCATTTAAATTGACTGTTAACATCTGTAGCATTAAACATCTTGTCAAAATTCCAGGTACACTGCAGGTTTCCAATCTGCACTGAGAGCACATCAACAAGCAAAAGAACAGTAGCAGGTAAGTAAGGACAGAAGCAGTGTATACGTATAGGTAGGCTGGTATAGGACTATATATAGTTAGGGACTTGCAAACCAAGCGTACTTTCTATGTTTCTGTATTAGCTGTTCACACGCAAGTCTCCAGAGGTTGGAGTTTCTACATTAAAAGACACTCCAGGGAAGCTGCAATTGCTTTTGCTCTGAACTAGTCAAATTCCCGTGACGCTTCTTGGAGACAGGGACATACCTGGAGACAAACACTACTACTTTTGAACAGGTTTTTAGGGACGGGTGAAGGGCATCCAGCACTCCTCAGTCTGAAGCAAAGCACTTACGCTACATCAATCTTTCCATCTGGCTTCTTGGTAGCACCGGTAACTTTGGTGTTTAGTTTAAACTTAAATCCCTGCTTTTGAAGAATACGCTGGAAGTTTTTGGAGATCTCCATGTCGATTCCCATTCCGCCAACGTGGCCCATGAACTCCACAGCTGTCACATCCGCACCGAGGCGCTGCCAAACTGAGCCCTGCAGTCACAGCATCAATGTAAAGACTGAGATTTGAAAGGAAAACTTCAGGATTCTCTGCTATAACACCTACCACTTAGAGGGTAAGCTCTGCAGAAGAGGGGCAAGCTGGTCTGTCTTACAAATACTGCAGTGCAGACATAAAATGTTCCTTCTCATTATCTTTTTGCAGCTAAGAAAACAGTTAAATATAAAATAGGTAGTTTTAAGTTATAAAAAAGAAAAACCCAAAGGAAGTTTCGGGACGTTTGTGGCAGTCTACTATTGCAAGCTAAAGAAAGCAACGCTATGTTAGGGAAATTATTTATACATACATATTCTGTATGCCCCTATAAATAGGCTCACTGACACCAGCTTCAGAAAGGAAAACCCTACACCTCCCACTTACCCCCAGTTACCCACATCCATCCAACACAGTATTTCTCTGCCTCCTTTTTCCCCTCCTGTATGGCCAGGATGCTGAACAACCACTAAGCAGATTTTCAAGCAGTTGCAAGATCAACAAACACACACCTGCCTTCAACCAGGTAAGCACAAGGCAAAAGGAGTCAGACCAAAATGAACTACAAAGGTTCCACTTATTGGCTGCTAGATATAAGAAGGGTATATACAACAACTGAATATGGCCTAAAATTAACTTTCCTTAAAAAAAACTTCTCAAATGTACATGACAACAGATAAGAAATCCCAGTGAAAGGCAACACCCCCAAAACCCGTATGGGATGGCCTCATTCTCTATATTCCTCTCGTATTTCTCTACTTGGCTAACCAGCTGCAGGAATACTTAACCTACAACATCTATCCCACATTTTCAAGGGGAAAAGGAAGCCAGCAGGCTGTATCTAAGGATTTTCATTACAAAATCCCCCAAACAGCCAGCTTTCCATTAACTGCTAAAAACAAACAAAGTCCCATTTCTTTATAAATAAAACATGAAATATTTAAGAATTCTCTCACCAATTCCACGCCAATGACTCCTGCACCAATGACAACCATCTTTTCAGGAACCTTTTTTAGTGATAGTGCACCAGTAGATGACACAATATTATCTTCATCAATCTGGTGACAAAGAAATCCACAGAGCCACGTTTACAATCTCTTCTACCCGCTGCATGTAAAACTCACAGCACAAAGACAGTCAGGCGCACAATATTATCACGTTAAAAAAGCTGAAAACCAGTATCCCCAAGATTCCCAATACGTACAGTAATTCCAGGAAAGGGAGCCACTTCGGAGCCTGTAGCTATAAGAATGTTCTTTGTATTGATAACTTGGGTGCTGCCATCGTCTCTGGTTGCAGTGACTTGGTTTTTGCCAGTTATTTTTCCAAACCCGGAAACATGTACAACCTTGTTAGTCAGAAAACAGTACATTTAGACTCATTTTTAAGGCATGCTATTTAATCTGAATCTCACTAATCCCACTTCTCTATAGAGTGGCTGATTTTCTGCTAAAACTAACCTTTGCTTCACTGTTGCACTTCTGCGTCCTGCACAAATTACAAAGGAATTGGATATTGCTTTCTTTTTTAAGTGGATTTAAGAACAAACTGAACTGCTCATTTTAAACACCCTAGAAGCAAAGCATTTAGACTCTGCCCTTGCTGAATTATTCACTCAAATTTATGTAACAAGATTGGGACAGTGTGAAAAGCATGAAACTTCAATCAGAAAAAAAACAAAAATCAGATAAACCTCAGCATGCAATCCAAACTGACCTTGTTTTGTTTAAATAAATGAGCAATTCCACCTGTTAGGGCTTTCACTGCACCACTCTTCTGTTCCATCATCTTCTCTAGATTCAAATTTATTCCTGAAACTAAAGTTAAAAAAAAAAAAAAAAAAGAAAAAAACATGTATCAAGGACACAGCACCACAACACAACACTAAACTGCAGCTCTGACACAACAAACGCTACTAATGTGTCATTAGTAAACGCTAATGGTAATCTTCAACAACTGATACATTAAAAAGCAGTATAAATTTTCCCAATATCCCTTATCTTTCTCGTATTCAAGGAGTACATACACGTCCCTAAGCTTCGAACTGACAGATAAAGGATATTATTTGCAAGTCTGAGATCTTCTGATTTTTCTAGAAGAACAGTCATATTTGAACTATAATATTTGTTGATAGACACTGCTGACATTAAACAAGTCCTGACTGTTACCCACTTACTTTCAATTCCTCTACTAGCAAAATCTTTTCCATGGGCCAAATGATACAGGTGAGAGTTATTCAGCAAGGCCTAAAATACAAAGAAAATAAAATGTGAATTGAGACACGCATTTGGGATTGAATTTATCACTAGAAGTTTAAAAAAAAAATGTTATTTGCAAAACATCATACCTATTAAGGAAGCTTCACAGACAAGAGACTGTCAACAAAAAGAACAAGAATCCCAGAATGGTTGAGGTTGGAAGGGACCACTAGAGCTCATCCAGTCCAACCCCCTGCTCCAGCAGGGACACCCAGAGCACGGGGCACAGGGCGGCATCCAGGTGCCTTTGGAAGATCTCCAGAGAAGGAGACTCCACAGCCTCCCTGGGCAGCCTGGGCCAGGGCTCTGGCACCCTCACACCAAACAAGTTCTTCCTCACATGCACATGGAGCTGCCTGGGTTTCAGCTTGCACCCATTGCCCCTTGTCCTGTCACTGGCCACCCCTGAGAAGCGCTTGGCCCCTTCCTCCCTACATTCTCCCCTCAGGTACATAGACATATTGGTCGGATCCCCTCTCAACCTTCTCTTCTCCAGGGCCCAGCTCACTCAGTCTTTCCTCATATGAGAGATGCTTCAGTCCCTTCATCATCTCTGTCGCTCTCCGCTGGACCCTCTCTAGAAGCTCCACGTCCCTCTTGTCCTGGGGAGCCCAGAGCTGCCCCCAATGCTCCAGGTGCGGCCTCCCCAGAGCTGAGCAGAGGGGCAGGATCCCCTCCCTTGTCCTGCTGGCAACATCCTCCTGAAGCAGCCAGGAGCCCATTGGCCTCCTTGGCCATGAGGGCACTGCTGCCTCATGGGTGACTTGGTGTCAACCAGGACTCCCAGATCCCTCTGTGTGGAGCTGCTCTCCAGCTGGTCAACCCCTAATCTGTGCTGGTGCCTGGGGTTATTCCTCCCCCTGCAGTGAGGACCCTGCACTTGTCCTTGTTGAACCTCAGGAGGTTCCTCTCTGCCCAACTCTCCAGCCTGTCCAGGTCCCTCTGGATGGCAGCACAGCCCTCCGGAGTGTCGGCCACTCCACCCAGCCTGGGATTTTCTGTGAACTTGCTCAGGGTGCCTCCGTGCCCTTCTCCAAGTCACTGACGAACAGGCTGAACAGCACTGGGCCCAGTACTGATCCCTGGGGGACACCACTGGCCACGGCCTCCAGCCAGTTCCCAATCCACCTCAAGTGTCCAAAGAAGATGCAGGAAAAACTCCATGGGGAGAATCTATATTGAAATCACTTGAAAATTTAGTGTAGACATTTGGGTTAACTTTTCAATAACTTCGTTATTGAGCTAAAGTCACTTCAAACTGTAGAACTGGTTAAGCTGGAGCTTGATAGCTTAGAGCTGATGCAGATCACTGGACATTCACAATTTAAAAATAAAACCAGAACAGCCATTTGACAAGAATACTTATAAACCATCAGCAGGAAAAGCAAAACTGTGTTTTGTCCTTCATTGCACTTCCAAGAAGTAAAAGAGTAGTTGTCTGCACAGACTTAAATATTGTGTATACTTTGTAGCATACACAACAATAAATTCAAACAACATTTTGAGCACTGCGATAGCTGCTTTCTATATAGATACAGGACTAAAACTAGCACTGTCAGATTACTTATATTTTTGTGAATAAACTTAAGCAAGTATCACTCAAAATTCCTTTTACCACTTTACATAATTGCCACAATTTTGAACCACCACCAAAATATGCAAACAAAACCACAGAGTAAGATTTGAGTAATTACAAAGAAAAAAAATCCATGCCTGAGAATGCCACTGTCTTGATGCCACCTGAGTGGCATTTTGTCAAGGCATGAAGGAATAATTTTATATTATGTCTGCACATGCAGTCTGCACATGCAGTCTGCACATGCATTTCTTGAGTTTACTGACATTTCAAAATAAATTCTGGCTAGCATCCAAGTCTCACTGTAGGTTCAAAAGCATTTTCCTAGAAAACTTCACCAGATTAACAAAAAAAAAAAACCCCAAAGTTTCACTTGAGAAGGAAAAGCTACTTAAGCAAATCCCAGCAAAGTTCCAAATCTTCAAGTTAAAGTGCTGTGTCTACACTAATTCTTCTTTTTTTTCCTCACTATAGAAAGATATCCTGAACTTAATTAGAGATACTACTCATGCCTTCAGGCAAATGAGTACATCTCTTGCTTTAATTTTGTACTAACACTGCATTTTCTCTTATGCTGACTATGGAACATCTCCCATCAGACACACTAGAGCTCAAGAAAAAATAGAAGAGGTGAATTTTTCCACTGAGATAATCCAGATCTGCATCTGCAAGTACTACATGACAGCAACACAGAAGCGTGAGCAAAGCAAGAAAAGAGCTATCAGACAGTTATTTTTGCATGCACTTTGCAGTGAAACCAACAGCGAGGATAAGGTTTCAGAAAAAGCACCATACTTGACAGGAGCTTGGCAGTCTGGCAGAGGAACCGTGTACACAGAGCCCTCCCTACTGGGTTTGGAAAGGGTAGTCAAACTGCAAGATAAAGGCACCTATAATGCTGTTTTTCCTCTCTTTTTTTTCCCCCCCTTCACACTCTTCATTTTGGGGAGTGCTACCTGTTTCATAGTATCAAAGATGCCCTTGGAAAAAGCCTGAGGTTTTTCAAGCAATGGACATAACCAGGGTTTTAACACCGTTAGGACAACCTGGGTGCACTTACCTTGGAAGGAATACACCCCACGTTCAAGCAGGTGCCACCAAGGGTTTCATTCTTCTCCACACACACAGTCTGAGGAAATGAGAAAGACACTTATAGAGCAATTCCTCCTCTAAGGATGTGTTAACATTTTTCATTCATAGATTTAGCTTCTGGTTCAGATTCCCCCCTAAATCAATGGCTTTAATCAAAGCAAAAAACGGCTTTTTGAGCAACATTCACTACCAGCACATCGCCACAATCCTCACTAACACCAGTCACACTTTCATACAAACTCAAGTGTTGGTCCCCGCGTCCAACATCCCGTAACGCTGTGTCAATTAAACACAACATGCAGTTCCTAGAAAGATGATCCCCTACAATTCAAAAGCCAAACCACAAAAAGGAAAATTGCAAATCATGAGAAGACGCCCCAAAAACAAATCACAACAAAGCAGAGGAATGGACTAGTACAAGTTAAAAGTCTTATTAGGAAATCTTCTTTTAATGATAAGCAACAAATATACAAAAACAAAATCCCCAAACACTCAATCACAAGTAACATTTCACTCTCTTAACATGTTATCCTGCAAGACTCATTTCTGTAAATTTGCACCAATACCTTTAATCAAAAAAATAAAGCAGAGCCGAGCAGTAAGGACAAAACCAGAGATGGAAATTGCTTTATGATCCTTCCACCACCTTGCCAACATCAAACTGGGCAACGGAAAAGATGAGAAATCAGCCTTAAGAAAGGCAGATCATTTAAGGGGAGAAGGGAAGAGCCTGGCAAACTCTTTCCACGAGGGCATTGCACTCGAATCTGCTGTTAAGTGACTATCCAGACTGAGGCCTTTCACCATTTCTTTAAGATGCTCCCTTTGTGCTGAAGTAGAAGTGATGGTAACAAGAAGTACAGCACTCAGACAAATAAAAACACAAAACCAAGAACATACTCAAACACTCTGATCTCCTCTTTATCCTTCCTTCTGTTTTGATTATATGAATGCAGTAAAAAAAAAATCCAAGGGTTTCAAGAGCTGCACTGCAGACCAACAGCCCCAGGCAGCTCCTTCACCTGACCAGGAGCTTCTGCCTCACAGGCTTTCAACTCTCCCCACAACGACAAGTGAAATTGCTGAAAAGCCAATGCCCAGAGAAGGCTCCAGGGATGCTGTGGTGCCGATGCAAGGTCTGAGCAGGGCCTGGGCTTGTGCTAGAACAGGTAGCACTAAAATTCAGCACAGCTCAGTCGAGCACGCTCAGGTTTTTGCTTGGATGAGTAACTACGAAGTCCATCCTTTCACCAGTCTCACAAGGCATCACATGAGATACTACAGGGCGACATAAACACTGTTCATGCTTCTTCAAAGCTGCAGCTAAGACACAAATCCAAACGCCTGTGTCCCACAAACAGTGTCCAAATATTCTGTCCACTCTAACTGGCTCCAAATAACTAACTTATTGCTTGCAAAAACAACAAAATAATAATAATAATCCAGGATATACAGGCACTTCTTTCCCTCCTCTATATGACATCCTATTTCTGGTCACAAATACGAATTGCTTAAGGAAAATGTTGCTCCCACAGAAGCAGGCATATAACAATGAAAAGCCTCAGAAGAGACAAACATGAATTAACAGGACGAATAGTCCCAATTAAAAACTTTACTTAGGTACTTAAAAGGTCAAAGATAAAAAAACATCTAAACCCAAGAATATTCACAGAATCCCAGGATGGTTGAGGTTGGAAGGGACCTCTAGAGCTCATCTAGTGCAGCCCCCTGCTCCAGCAGGGACACCCAGAGCACGGGGCACAGGGCGGCATCCAGGCGCCTTTGGAAGATCTCCAGAGAAGGAGACTCCACAGCCTCCCTGGGCAGCCTGTGCCAGGGCTCGGGCACCCTCACACCAAACAAGTTCTTCCTCACATGCACATGGAGCTGCCTGGGTTTCAGCTTGTACGCACTGCCCCTTGTCCTGTCACTGGCCACCACTGAGAAGAGCTTGGCCCCTTCCTCCCTACATTCTCCCCTCAGGTATTTGTACATGTTGATCAGATCCCATCTCAACCTTCTCTTCTCCAGGCTAAACATTAAACCACAGGGAAGAACATTTTCCACAAACAAGGATAAAGACAACTCTGTCATCTGCACTAGTTCACATGCAGAGGTAAAGTTCTTAATGCAAACCCGAATATTTAATATTCCCACTCAAACATCCCTGAAGCCCAAGAGTTGTTCACTGGACTAATGAGGGAGATAATAATTCTTATTACAGAAAAGTTTAGGTTGAACGGGCCTCCTCTGTAGGCCACCTAATGCTGCCTACTGCTCCAAGCACAGTTGGCTCAGGTTGCTCAAGGTCTTGCTCAGACCTTTTCTGGCTTTGAGAATCTCTAAGGATAAAGATTAGAGTGTCAGGCCCCCGTTCCAGTGTTTAGCTCTAGAACTCTGGCCATAAACGGGAGCTCCTGTCCTCATTAGGTTTTCTAATTACCTCATTTTCATTTCAAAGGTCAGCTGTCGTACTTCAGGAGCACTTGGATGCACCAAGCAGTGGAAACAAGCTCAAGGCTCCTGGTGCTGCCTTCTCACATTTCAAAATAATTAAAAAAAAAAAAAAAATGACAAGTGCCAAGAGATTAAGCCAGTCTCATAGTAAAGAGTGAAATAAATTAATAAATAAATGCAATCCTGCTGAAATCACTGCATATTTCCATAAACCTAGACAATCTGCAGTGCATTATGCAGCTCTCTCACAATACTCATCAGTGACACATCATTAGTACAGATCAGATGAACATCGTCCGAAAGAGGGAGCTTTAGAGACAACAACAAAAAAACGAGGAGCATAAATAAACAGCATTTCTGCAGACACATTTTCACTTTTAAAAAAAGTGATAGCAATGTTATTCCTCTTCTTGCATCCAATAGTATGTCAGACGAATATTGCTTTTTCCTTTGAATTTCCTCAATCTGTTTTTCAGAATTTCACGATAGTTTTATGAGGTGCCTTTTTTTTTCCCCCTTGTTTCCCTTTTTTTTTTTCTCTTGGGGGAGAAAATTGCTGGGTAAGCCAGGTTACAAATGCTTTGGGTAGGTGAACAGCTTCCAGTGATCCAAGATGTCATGGAAGAACTACAGGTGCTTCAGTGTCACACAACACCTCCCAAGTTCATCTGGATGAATATTCTGTTATGTTAGTGGCTGAAAGGTCACATYTTACCTTAAATCCAAGCTGGGCTGCTTTGATGGCAGCAACATACCCTCCAGGGCCAGACCCAATAACGGTGACATCGGCATCAACTGCAACAAGAGAAAGTTGTGATTTGAAAGAGTGATTTGTCTCAGCARCTCAATTTGCAATGGCAGAAATATTAGTTGATTTTTTTGGGGGGACAGTTCATATTTGAAACACTTAAAAAAGAGTCTGTAAAAATGACGCTACGTATTAAAATTTAGATACGTAAACTACGTTTTACTTTGGTGAGCATCATTCTGGCCAAAAAGAAAAGTGGAGATATTTACTCTGCAAGTTAAAATGGCAGCTTTCGGGTTTTAAATAGCAAATCACATAAGACCAAATGAAGAGAGTGAGCTGCATCTGAGGCAAGCCTGTGCGTAAGTCCTGTAAGAAGGTGACTGAGGGAGTTTCGGCCCTTTTGGCGTTTCCCAGCGCATTTCCCGGCGGGTTCAGCGCTCACGAGGGCTGCTGGGGCTCACCGGGCACCGCGGACGGGCACAGCAACGGGCGGGAGCGGCTGCGCGGGCACCAAGGGCACGGCCCGCTCCCCTCGCCGCCCGCTTCCCGCCCTACACCGCTCCGCGCCCACGTGCGGCGGCAAAGCCGTTACCTTGGTCCGCGTAGCTCCTGCGGGGCGCCGCGCAGCCGCCGGGCAGCACCCGCTCAAAATGGCTCCTCTGCAAAGGGAGGGGGGGGAACAAGAACGGTCAGCGCG